TATACCAGGACCCATTCGATCATCGCATCACATCAAGATTTCGTATGGGACAGGCACATGCACAAACTTGTATTCCCCTTAAATGGTTGCGATGGACATTTTGGCGTGACTTCTACTTGGACCTGAATGATATGGATTTTTGGAGGCATGTCAGGGCTTACATATTATTCATATTGGGCTGTCACCTTCTTCCAGATACTTCAGGTTCTGAGATACATTTACAATACCTGACTATTATGGAGGATTTAGCAGTATTCAGTACATACTCTATCGGCGGAGCAATTTTAGCGCATTTGTATAGAGAGTTGGAAGAAGCAACACGGCCTAGTAGGGCCAACATAGCTGGATGCATTCATTTGTTATAAATCTGGGCTTGGGAGCATCTGCATGTAGGACGACCACTGCTTCGTGTTCCCTTTTCAGTGGAACTTCATGGTCTTAGTGTTGGGTTCAGGTATGAGATAATTATATTTAATCAATATTTATAATACTTCATGCAATAAAATTTTTTTACTGACAATATAAATGTAATAGGTGGAATGAGGATCGCCTAAGAGAGTTGCATGTTGGAAATATCATTAGCTATAGAGATGAGCTCGATGGTTTACTTGATAGTCAGGTATGTTCTTAAAGTTTTGAAAAAAAAAATAAACATGTTAATTGAAACTTATAGAACTTGTTATTGAAAATGCAGGTAATTTGGCAGCCATATACGCCTGATATTAGAGCTCAGGTGGCACAGATTTGTCTATCAGGGGAGGACATTTGGACTGCACGAGTGCCTCTGATCAGTTGAAAGAGGGTTGAGTGGCACTTGCCAGATAGAGTACTACGACAGTTTGGATTATGCCCAACTACTAACATTGAACCAATTGATCCAAGCTTCAAAAGGGTAGATGGTCGTGGCAAACCAGACATGGACTGGATGTTGTACCACCAACCACACATTGCCATATGGGAGAGTAGGCGTGGATACATAGTCACAGGGGACCTTCTTGACCAGCATAAGAACTACTTGATCCATCAGTACATACAGTGGTACAAGTCATGGGCAACACTACACATGTTGAAGGCACCTGTTGAGCCTCCCACAACGGCATATCCTAGAGCTCCCTCTGAGCGTCTTCTGGTACATTTAAATTTAATATGCTATAAAATTCTTATAAAATTTATTTTTTTAATTAATAACGAATTTCTTATATTATTTCAGAGGGAATTTTTCCTTAGTACTGAACAAGCTTTGCAACAACACTTCAATGGTTCAAATGATACACAATAATAGAGGGACATAAACATAGTGGCAGAGCTTTGCCGTGGTTTGCGTAGCCAGTTGTATATTCAAGATCAAGGATATTTTGAGGATAGAAGTGAGCATGATACACCATTTTCCATGACACATGAACCTCCTCAGCAATACAGTGGATATGCTGGACCCTCCTCTTATCCTGATCAAGGGCCATCTACGGACGTCTTCAGTAGCCAGGTGCCAGCGGATTTGGATGCATACCTCACACCGGATTTTGTACCGAGCTCCCTTCATAGAGATGACATAGCTGAGGAAGAAGTTGCTGAGGAGGAGCATCACATGCTACGTCAAAGGCCACGACGTCCTCCTCAACATTACACTCCAGGCACTGATGCATTACCACAGAGGCCGCGTAGGCGACGCTAGTTCATCTTTTTATGTATTTAAGTATGCTTATGTTATGGATCATTCGACTACAGTCCTAGTCAGCATAAGTCGCCGTTTGAACAGGCGATTTTGCCTATATTTAAATTTTTTTTAAAACATGCTTAATTTGTTAATACAATTTTTAATTATGCTTATTCTTAAAATTTTCCCAATAATTAAAAGGGAAAAGGTGAAAGAAAGAAAAGCAGTGTTGGAAGCTCTAGGCTTTCATTAGACTGTCAATAATATATAAGATTGATGCAAGTGATTAAGGCTTCGTTGGGATAGCTTTTTAAAACATGTACTACAGTTTGTGCGGTAGATTATGCTTAGGTTGGCAAGAATGATTGACGTGTCAAGAACAGATGAAAATGGACAAAAAGTCTTGGCTGCCTGACCTAACGAGGAAGATAATCATATTTTTTATGACTTCTTATATGTGCCAATTTAATTATGATAAAATTTTTAAAATAAGCTTAATTAAAAGTTGTATTAAGTGGATAACCATATTTAAAAAAAGTTTAATACTAGGAAAAGTTGCCCATTTAACGAGCGATTAAAAGCTGACTAGGCATTACTGAGTTAGCTAGGCGTAAGCCTCAGTAATTAACGTTAAAAAAAATATTAAATGTAAGTCAACAATTTAATAGGAGACATACATCATACTGAGTAAGCCGCTGGATAATCACGCGACCTAGAGTAAATATTATTTTTTTTAAATAATAATCATATTTTCCCTTTTATTCAATTATGCAGCCATGTTATGCCGATAGTTAGGATAAGAAAATATTTTATAGCCACATTTTTAAAAATTTTAAAACATGTGCTTAGTAAAAATTTAAGGAGAAGTTGTTTAGGAATAACTCAATCATTTTAAATAAATTTAGGAATAACCCAATCTTTGTTGCTTGTTATTATACTATTATATAGCCCTACTTGTTATTTTATGTTTTCATTTGTGATGTGGATATTTAGTGCTATACACATAAAAATCTATGCAGAGCAATTATTGATGACATTGGATGCTAAAGTAATTGTGACAGACATGATTTAAATTATCTGACATGAGATACAAAGTTTTGTTGTGAAATCATCAAGACTTTCCAACATCATCTTTATTAATTTTTGTCATTATATATTTTACTTTTTCGTCAGTCCATTTATGTTTTTAATATAAATGTATTCATTCAAAAATTTTATATTTGGTTATAAATATGTGTTGTAAACATCTCTTTTAAAACTGTAAAAAAGGTTGTGAAGAAGTTGTAGAAGGATTTGCTTTACTGAAGTGATTGCGCTACATTGGTTGAGGTTTAAATTTCTTTCTTTCTTTCTTTTTTTTAATGAATTGGCCTATTATGCTTAAAATCATGAAGACTCCAACAAAAGATTTACAGTAGAGTGGAAATACATGATTGCACCAATATATGGGAAGATTCCCAGTGAGTTCTTTACAGATGAAGTCCAGGGAAAATGAAATATATAGATGTTTCATGCAAGAGTGGAGAAAAGATCACGATTATATGCTTATTATGAGGATGCTCAAAGAGTTGATGAAAATAAATGTGTATAAGAGGAATATTTTTTTTTAATTGTCAAAGTTGGATAAATTTAGAGAGGACACATTCTACAAACATAATCATTATTTTGTGGGTCAACACGTCCTCCAAATGCATTATCATCAGTTATGATGTCAAGGTGGAGATGCTTAGACTAATAAACTTGAAATGTCCATGAATGATATGGATCACATCATTCTTTATCATCCTTAGTTGCTTCAAGAAGATGAATTTATTATTAATTTTATGAAAATTGGATGAAAGAGATTGCTAATGGAGGTACAAGTATAATTTTTTTTATGTGATTGATTGGCTAGATTTACAGCACAAGTTCAAATTTCCCTTTAAATGTTGTCCGATGAAAATCCAACTTCAAAGATGTTTACACATGTTTACTAAGTGAGAATATAACCTCATCTTGTATGCTTTGTAAGCTTGATTGGTCTTATCTCATCGTTTAGTATATCTCTAATGTTTACTTAAGTGTCGCAAGTGTTTCTTGCTCAATTGAAAGTTTGTTAGGGATGTTAAGCCCTATGAACTTAGTCCCAAGCTAACCAAGACGGGGGGGGGGGGTGGAATTGGTATTGTTTAAAAAATTTCTTTTCAACAAAGAACAAAATCACATAACACAAAAGTCACACTATGAGAAAAATAAATGCGAAATTAGAAATGCGGAGAGCAAGAAATAGATACACAGAGATTTATAGATGGTTCGGTCAACTTGACCTACGTCACCTCCTTGAGGCCCCTCCAAGTTATGCGCACTAACAAAACGTGACTCTCCTTTAGCCCAGGCTAGTGGAGAGAGCCCTCACAAAGAACCTCTTTTTGCCACAAAATGGCAAGGCAGAGGGACCTATCTCCTTTCTTCTTCCGTCCTGAAGCTGGCAGCGGAACCACAACAGATGCTGACTCCTTACCTCTTACCGGACCCCTTCAAAATGAGAAACTATAGATGAAGAAAGAAGCAGAGCGATCCTTGAAGTAAACCCTTGTGATTCCCCTTCAAGGGGGCATCCTTCTTCTTCTCTCTTTTCTCCTAGATCTCCTCTAAGGCTTCTCAGGTCAAGGATAGCAGCCAAAGGTATTCAAAACTTTGAACAAGAGCTCTTAAATCAGAGGAGATTTCAAATGAGTCTCATAATAACCAAGTTCGGACTAATTGTACCAGGACGATATGGTATGGCATCGGCCTGCGCGATCAGTATAAATCTCTTAGAAGTCGGCCAGAGCATCGCCCTGAATGTAAACTGAGATTTAAAATTAGTTATCATCCAGGATGATCAACAATGTCTTCGGCAGCGATCAGTTCAATAGAGGAAAAATCGTTAGAGCATCGCCCTGAATTTGGCTGGTCCGTATTATCGTCCTGAAGTAACAAGGTTTTTTGAAATAGATCGTCCGTGCCGATATGAGTCCGTCGGAAGCGTATATGTCGTAATCAACTCCATCCTTAATTACTCCTTGATCCTGATAATTTAAGGCATATTTTGAATTGTCCAAGCCGATCAATGATCTTCTGGAGATATTTAAAAATACAGTTACCTTAATTATCTATGGCGGCAACTTCTTTACTATTTTGAGCTTATCGCCTGACTCAATGATCGTCCAGCGTCTGTTAATGACGGCTTGGCCTTAATTAAAGATCCTTATATTAGCTTTCTTGTTTTAAGGCCTTGATTGTCAGTGACAATGTAAATATAATCTCTC